TTATTATTATTATTACTATTACTATTATTATTATTTGCATTTCTCATTTTATTGTGCGTTATATTGAATAACTTAAATAGAAAATCGTACAAAAAGTCATAAAGACTAAAGTACAATATCATAGAGTACGAATGTCAGTGATATACTGACGGGAAAACATCGTTGGGATGAAATGTTTCACAACAAATAATGACAGGTATGGCTTTGGCGCCCTGGATTAGTCATCGCGAATCTACAGTCACATCTGATGCAAATTTTATTGGCCTTTAAGTAAATTTTCCTTACTATAATTATAAATATAGTCAACATTATACAATTCGCTTTAAAATAGTTTTAGTATGCTAATTTGTGTTTTGAAATAGTTTGGTTTCCTTATTAACCATTCCTTCTTTCTTTCTTCTCAGGCTTCACTTTCCTTATAAACCATTCTTTCTTTCTTTCTTTCTTTCTTTCTTTCTTTCTTTCTTTCTTTTTAGGCTTCGCTTTCCTTATAAACCATGCTTTCTTTCTTTCTTTCTTTTTTCTCAGGCTTCGCTTTCCTTTTTAACTATTCCTTCTTTCTTTCTTTCTTTCTTTCTTTTCATGCTTCGCTTTCCTTATTAACCTTTCTTTCTTTCTTTCTTTCTTTTCAGGCTTCGCTTTCCTTATTAACCATTCCTTCGTTCTTTCTTTCTTTCTTTCTTTCTTACTTTTCAGGCTTCGCTTTCCTTATTAACCATTCTTTCTTTCTTTCTTCTCAGGCTTCGCATTCCTTTTTAACCATTCCTTCTTTCTTTCTTTCTTTCTTTCTTTCTTTCTTTCTTTCTTTCGTTTGTCTTAATAACCAATTTTTGTTACCTTGTTTCTTTCCTTTTCCATCACTATTTATTTTTTGCATATGAACCTTTATTATAACACACACACACACACACACACACACACACACACACACACACACACACACACACACACTTTTAATAGCTCAGTATTCATAACCTACATGTCGGTTGATATAGACAGATAATAAACAGGGATATATATATATATATATATATATATACATAATAGGTTAATGGTTCGAGTTGAATCAGACCAGGATCAGTAGTATTAAAAAGTGCTCAATACATGTGAAAAAAAAATAAAATAAAAGTAAAAATAACACGTAGAGCTTTTAATTTTAAAAATCAGGAGTTTAATTGGATCTGCTACCTTGGTTTCAACCTGAAGGTATCCTCACGCACCTGGGGATACCATAAGTTTGAAACCAAAATAGCGGATTCAATTAAACTCCTGATTTTTAATATATATATTTGTATGTGCATGTGTATGTATGTGTGTTTGTATGTGCGTAACGAAGATGTCATATATTTTGAATATTTTTTGTATGTATATTTTGGAAGTGATGTTATTAGAATGGTGAAAATTCCTCGTTCCGACGCACTTCTAAAAAAAAAGCTGAGCAAACTTCATTTTCGAATGGCTTCTTGCTCGTGCCTTTTTCACCGCTCCTCGTCTATACATTCGAGATATTTCATCACTTCAACCAATCGTCCCGGTTCATTCAACAGCAGCGTCTCGTATCTTGTTCGTGGTCACGTGTTCCCACTTCTTAACAGACGATACCGTCTTCTTCATTTTGAGAGCGGCATATAGCAACCATTATTCAACGTATTTTCAAAACATTTAAGGCAAGACTGATAAGTAAAGATCGTTCATTTATTTTTATTCGGCGATATTTTTCTACACAGAAGATCACGAAAATCAAACTAAGCAAAAGGAAAAATCGATATTCCATTTTTAATAGATACTTTAGTCCTTTTAAAATAGATTATTAAAATACAGCTTTAAGTGCTGAATCTAGATGCGTCGTCGGTGTTGTTACTCCCATGTCACTAGAAGTTTCGGGTCTAAATAAACAACCGACTTCTTTGATGGACGACCCGACCGAATATGATCAGTATTCGGCCTGCACCCAGAATAAAATTTGCTATTAGCTTTAGGAGGTTCTTTATATAAATTCCCCCCGAAAACGGCAACTAATCAAGACTTCACTTGGGCTATTCGATGTTATAGATCGGGTATACTTGGTTGTGCTGATCTTCCTACATGCGGCCAACACAGGGTGTTTTTTGAAGAAAGAAGAAAACAAACCAATATATAATATATATATATATATATATATATATATATATATTAATAAAAAAAACGATTTATTATATTGGCTTATCTTATGACTTACTTTTCTTTCTCTTTCTCTCCTTTTAACTTCTCTATTATCATATTTGTTTGGTCTTTCTCTTTTTATAACTTTCCTTTTTATTCTTATTTTTTCTTAACTACACTTAACAAAATGTATACATTAGTGATTAGAATCCACCTAAAATACGGTATGAATAATTTGGAATATTGATTGAAACTCTGAAATTCCGTTTTAAACCTAAGAGAAATACCATTTAACTAAAATTGCTTAAAAATAAATGAATCAAGATATTTACATGCTAAATACTAGTTAAAAAAACATAATAACGTGTAAATTTTAGTTAAAATAGGTTACTACCAACAAATTATCGTTAACGGAAGAAATTTATTTAAAAACTAAGAGAAATAACATAACTAAAATTGCTTAAAATAAATTAATCAAGATATTTATTTACATATTGAATAATAGTTAAAAGAAAAAAATAGCGTGTAAATTTAGTTAAAATAAGTTACTCCTAAAAAAAATTATCCTTAAAGGAAACTGACTGGAAAAAAAAACGAGTAAATACGACAAAAAAAAAAAAAAAAAAAAAATTCCGAGTAAAAAAAAAGGAAAGCTTACGTGTAAGAATATTTTTTGTAATAAAATAAATCTACTCGAAAGACCAGTAAAACACAGAAATGAAGTCGTTAAATATGCGACTGGATGCAACTCGAATAAATTGTTTCTCTGAAGCTTTTCGTCATCTATATATACAATTTTAACATACATATATACACATCTATATACACTTTTAAGTTTTAACTCTATTTAGTGTTGGTATTTACGACGTATGTTCATCTTCACTGGGAACGTTCGTATTTTTAGTTGTTTTGGGCCATTTATTAGCCCTATTTATCCACAACCACCTGGTGGCCTTTACGCCCGCCTTCTTTTTTGTCCAATTATCGCTAGACTAGTAAGGGCTCGTATCATTGACTGTCCGGCGAACCTCCTACAGCCGATCTCGACCGGGAAACAATGAGTACGCCATTTTTTAGTCCGGCACTCGTCTAAGAGTCCTTGATATTTACTGTGCTTTCTCTCAAAAGCCTCTTGCATATGCTTCTCCCATGGGACAGTTAACTCCAGCAAAATAATCTGTTTCGTGGCGTCCGAATAAACGATTATGTCTGGACGGAGTTTGGAGGACGATATATGTATAGGGAATTTCAATTGTTTCCCGAGATCGACTCGCATCTGCCAATCGGATGCGGACGATAACAATGAATGGGATCCTGCAAACTTCTATGAAGATCAATAAGTCCGTAGTTTGACAGAGAAATTAACTTAATATTGATAGGATATTTTGAAAGTATATTTTCAATACATAACATTCGGTTTATTCCTACAATAATAATAGCAATAATGACTTAAAATACCCATGAAAATTTCACGGTTTGTCTATTTGAATTTTCTGATGAAACGTAATTCTTATGTTAAGGATTGCATAAGCTCATGGCGAGTTCTACGACAATAAAATATACAGAGAACTTTCTCTAACGCATCGTTAAGTATTTGAGATTAACGACTTTAAAAATATTACAATAACAATCATAAATATGAATACTAGTCGTTATTTTAAGAAGTAAGGGGGTACAAAAAAAAAAAATGAAATTGAAAACTTTCCCATTTCCCTGAAACAAATGCTTTCTTTCTTGTGACTTTTTCTCTGAAACCAAGTAGCGATTCTCGTATATCTTTCCCGTCTTTCCTTGTGATCAGAACTGAATACTCCATTATTTATGAAGTATTGGTAGGGCGTGACGATCGTGCTAACTAAGAGAGTGACAATAATAATAATGATGATAATAATAAAACATTTACAATGCTCTTCTGTAGTAAAATTAATTCCAGTATATTTCTGTGTGTTTTTAGTATTCATGTTACTATATATATATATAAAACACATTCATTGTTATACTGATTATATATATATATATATATATATATATATATATATATATATATATATATATATATATAATGTAAACGGTGAATGGATTTATTTTATGCATTGTTTTAATAAATACTACCTGTGATATCACAGCTTACACTAACGTTACAAAAATCACGGAGAAGCAGTATGTAAAGGTAATGGTAGGTAGCGCCACTGTACCTTGTCGCTATAAAATGTTCAGATCTCTATCTTTGATAACTAGTGAGTCAGTATGAACATCGTCTAAGGAGAGGTGGCGCGAATTATCTGAGTTCGAACAGGGGATGATAGCAAATTATGAACGGATGAGATATTTTGTCTTTGAAATTGTGGCGATATTTGGTATCTCTCAGTCCATGGTGTTACATACGTATCGGGAATGACTGATGGGAGGTATTACCACCCGAATCGGACATCGTTGTGGTTATATGTCCTGCAAGATCGTGAACAGAGATGTCTGGTTAGAATTGTCTGCAGTAACTACGCCATTACTGCTTTCCTTCCAATGACAAATTATAATTTTATTTTGAAAAGGTTTATATTGATGCACTGGGTCAACCTTGTGTTACTGTTTACATTAAATTTCATGAAGCGTTTGTGAAAGTAGTGACATTTTAAGAATGCATTTATTTGCAATTATTGAAGTTACTTTCAACATTAAAAAAATTGTCTGTTTGAAGAAATTTGAAATAAAAATACTGCATAAACAAAACGTATTTTTACATCATATAAAACATTGGAGTTGCTTTCAACATTAAGAAATTATTTGTTTGAAGAAAGTTGAAATAAAAATATTTAAATTATTGTTAAAGAAAACTGAAATATAAATAAGCACGCACGCAATCACGGGAAGGTGGAAAGAGAGAGAGAGAGAGAGAGTGAGAGAGAGAGGTGGAAAGAGAGAGAGAGAGGTGGAAAGAGAGAAGGAAAGAGGTGGAAAGAGAGAGAGCTGGAAAGAAAGAGAGAGAGGGGCGGAAAGAGAAAAGAGATAGAGAGGTGGAAAGAGAGATAGAGAGGTGGAAAGAGAGAGAGAGGTGGAAAGAGACAGAGTGAGAGAGAGAGGTGGAAAGAGGGAGAGAGGTGGAAAGAGAGAGAGAGGTGGAAAGAGAGAGAGAGAGGTGGAATGAGAGAGAGAGAGGTGGAAAGGGAGAGAAGTGGAAAGAGAGAGCGTTTTTCTTTCCATTTCCTTCTCTCCTCCGCTTCCTAGACAATAATAAATTCATATCTTTCTTTCCCCACTTTGTATATATGACTTCTGGCAAACACACAAGTAACGTTCATAGACTTTTATAGTAATAAAGATTCCCGGACTCAATGTGAACTTACATGATGTTAAAAATTTAAGCAATGACCTTGGGTACATCAGTGCAAATAAAGAAGTGTATACAATTGTGATAGAAAATCGAAATAAAGCCTTCCGAAAAAAAATTTATTCGCATCGGTTAAATTAACATTTTTATTTAAAAGTTATCTCTTCATATTTTTGTATAATGTGACGTATATTTAATAAAGTGTTGACGAACAACAGAGTTATTTCCCCTTAACGTATTTCATTACAGACGTTCTGTGATTTTCTTGAAATTCTTTTCTTACTCTTTTCTTTTCTTCTTTTTTGCAGATTGCGAAAACAACAGCAAGAAGAAGAACGACGTCGTCTGGAGGAAGAGGAGCTGGCGCGCGAACTGAAGCGTCTGCAAGAAGTGGAAGCAGAAAAGAGGCGAAAAGAGGAACACATGCGTAAATTACGCCAACTAAAAATGCAACAGTTGGAAGAGGAACAAAAACGTCAAGGTAAAATATTTGCTGGATTTCCGTCTCGATCAAAAGTGCGACATTGAACGCATTGGCAAAATCTTTCTTTAATCTGTACCAGTCGAACCAGTCAGAGTTTACAAGACAAACACATCTGTTTGTTAACAATCTTTTGTGATGTCAACTAACACTCGTTACCACTTTTGTGATGTGAAAGAATACTTGTTGTCACTTTCGTAATGTTCCTTGTAGTAGAGACTGTGTAATCGCAGATACAACTATAGTAACGCCGTTGAACAATGCTAGTGTCAGACACCTTCGAATCACACTCGCACTAACAGTAATACTCGCTCGAGCCGTAATCCATTTAGTGATCCGAATAGAGAAATATTATACTGAATAAAGTAGAGAACAGCGGTCCGTATAGTAATAGAGGATAGACTAGAAATAGCGATCCGTATAGTAATAGAGGATAGACTAGAAATAGCGATCCGTATAGTAATAGAGGATAGACTAGAAATAGCGATCCGTATAGTAATAGAGGATAGACTAGAAATAGCGATCCGTATAGTAATAAATGTTAGAGTAGAAATGGCGATTCGTATAGTAATAGAGGATAGACTAGAAATAGCGATCCGTATAGTAATAAATGTTAGAGTAGAAATGGCGATTCGTATAGTAATAGAGGATAGACTAGAAATAGCGATCCGTATAGTAATAAATGTTAGAGTAGAAATGGCGATTCGTATAGTAATAGAGGATAGACTAGAAATAGCGATCCGTATAGTAATAAATGTTAGAGTAGAAATGGCGATTCGTATAGTAATAGAGGATAGACTAGAAATAGCGATCCGTATAGTAATAAATGTTAGAGTAGAAATGGCGGTTCGTATAGTAATAGAGGATAGACTAGAAATAGCGATCCGTATAGTAATAAATGTTAGAGTAGAAATGGCGATTCGTATAGTAATAGAGGATAGACTAGAAATAGCGATCCGTATAGTAATAAATGTTAGAGTAGAAATGGCGATTCGTATAGTAATAGAGGATAGACTAGAAATAGCGATCCGTATAGTAATAAATGTTAGAGTAGAAATAGCGATTCGTATAGTAATAGAGGATAGACTAGAAATAGCGATCCGTATAGTAATAAATGTTAGAGTAGAAATGGCGATTCGTATAGTAATAGAGGATAGACTAGAAATAGCGATCCGTATAGTAATAAATGTTAGAGTAGAAATGGCGATTCGTATAGTAATAGAGGATAGACTAGAAATAGCGATCCGTATAGTAATAAATGTTAGAGTAGAAATAGCGATTCGTATAGTAATAGAGGATAGACTAGAAATAGCGATCCGTATAGTAATAAATGTTAGAGTAGAAATGGAGATTCGTATAGTAATAGAGGATAGACTAGAAATAGCGATCCGTATAGTAATAAATGTTAGAGTAGAAATGGCGGTTCGTATAGTAATAGAGGATAGACTAGAAATAGCGATCCGTATAGTAATAAATGTTAGAGTAGAAATGGCGATTCGTATAGTAATAGAGGATAGACTAGAAATAGCGATCCGTATAGTAATAAATGTTAGAGTAGAAATGGCGATTCGTATAGTAATAGAGGATAGACTAGAAATAGCGATCCGTATAGTAATAAATGTTAGAGTAGAAATGGCGATTCGTATAGTAATAGAGGATAGACTAGAAATGGACTCGAAGTTAGCTCCACAAAAAAATCAGAATGCAAACAATTGCATTCATACTACCACGCAGATATCACATCGGTTCTTGCTAATGACTGAGAAAGTCGAAAGTACTTGAACAAAAATAACAAAATATGAACTTCGGACAGTTTATCTACAACTTCGAGCACAGTACTCAAGACATTATCCGAAAGTTGGAAAATATAATGAAAAATTAAACAGACAAACCTTGTAGGTTCTTTTTAATTCGGATCAATGCTTGTTGTATAAATATACCATATATATATATATACATATATATATATATATATATATATATATATATATATATATATATATATATATAAAATGATATTATTTGGTAATCCGTATAGATAATCCAAAGAGGATATAGATCCAGAGAGAGCTCAATGTAATAACAGAGAAAATAATAATTATGAAAGTGGAATAATTATGAAAGTTCATCGTAATATTTTATTTCATTAAAACCGATACTTCGGTCTTAACTCATCAGACCAAACATATCAGACAAAAAACAGATTTAAAATTTTACCAGGCACAAAGCATTTATCTAAGCATAAATTATGCTTAAATATGTAGATTCAAAATTGGGGGAAAAAGTGGGGAATAAAATGGAGGGAGTAGAAGAGGGATATTTATTCAAAACGGGGAAGAGAAATGGGGAAAGAGAAGATAAGTCTGTCTAAAGAGATATATGCGAAGGGGCGAGAGAATATATATATATATATATATATATATATTAAAGAAATGAAAGTGTGTAGCGTAATATTACATGACGTTTTTAAAAGTTAAGCAACTGGTTTTGCTGCTGCTCTTCAGGACTCTACGAGAGCTCTAACTTAGATTAAAATAACAGGAAAATGTGTAATGAAGAGGAGAAAAAATGAACACAAAGAGCCAGAAAAAAATAACAGCGAACCCCAACAAACATTCACGCTGTTTCCAGAGAGAAGGTTTGCAGGACCTAATATAAAGTGCCTCCAGTACCTTGAGATGAAATAGAGAGTGTGACCGGGACAGAACAGTGAACCAATCAGCACTAAAATTAGCAACACACCCTCTGTTATTTAAGGGGTGCTCACAAATGGGACACTTCCATTCAATGGCAAGGTGTGATTCCTGATCTTAGTGGGGATATGTTGTTTAATTCTCATGTCCAGGCGTTGAGTTGTTCTCCCTATATAGTCAGCACGCAATTCTATTTATAAACAATAGAACAGTCGATTTCGGTCAGTTGATTTCTTAACGTTTTATTTTTTTTAAATGAAAGTTTATGAACGCTATATTTCTAAAAAGATAAATAAATGAATAAGCGTACAACATAAGGAGTCGTAGAAGGCGAGGAGGAGGAGGGGGAAAATCAAATGTTTTGGAAATGTATCGGTGGCGGATTAAATGAAATATACATACATTCTTTTCATCCCACTTCATATGAACTCAGAATGAACTTTTTAGTAGATATACAACGGGACATAATTTCGGACCTCTCATTCAAAAGGTTTCGTTTGGAAATATTATTATAGCTAATTTATCTTGTTGCCAAAGGTTGCAGATGTTACTATGATTGTTGTAACGATTTGCTTTTTTAAAACTTACCAGTTTACAATCGGATCTTTTTAATGTTTTTCATTTAATTTCCACACATGGTTGGTAGAATTCCTAAGACTTTCTAGCTTAAAAGATGACTTGTGACTGTATCACCTCTTCTTAAAGTTACCTTCAGTACACCCTATATATATTTTTCTGGCTATATGTATTTTACATTTGCATTTACTTCTGTTTTGTAATAATTTACAATTGCAGTAAATTATATTACATGAAATTATTTCAGAAAATTTGCTTCTTGGAAATATTAGATTTAATGTATTATCTTTAAATTAAAACTAAAAAGCTTAAACATTATCATTTTGAAAAATTCATTTTAAAACTTAGCTATCGCGTTTCCTTGGAGGTACGTATATATTAGGGATCTCCACTAAATTTTCGGTACCTAAGGTTTAAGATGAATTTTTCAAAATGAAAAAGCATTCTTGAAGCTTTGTTTTTAGCTTTAATTGAAAGCTAAATGATTAAATTTACTATTTCCAGTAATCAAAATACTCTGGTGTATTTCAAATAGAAATTATATATTGGAATCTCAATTTTTTTAGTCACTTTCAGAAAATCAATTACAATCGGCTATTTTCTTACATTTTGACACATTTCTAAACAAAAGTTAATTATTGGTTTTAAAAATCTCTCCAAAATAAAATATATATTTGTGATACGTTTTTTGAAGAAAATTAGCAAATTTAAAGTTAAGTTAATCTGATTTGAAGCAAATATGACTTACTTATAGCATAAAACATAGTATACAAGCATTTCTTAACCACAGGGTCTTGTTTTTCTGACGTCTTGATTAATGTATTGACAGCCTGATGTGTCGAAGAGCTAAGTATAGTTGACCAGAATTGACATAAATTTACGAAATCTATGTAAACGCTTTGTTTTTGGTTTTAATTACCTAGTAATTTTTAAACATTAACATAATATTTTCAGCAATTATCTAATATTTTATTCAATTTTAGTTACTTTAGCTTTATAGACTTACGTTTGAAGATGCTTTTTGAAAAAATAAAAAAATTTAAAAATACTATAAAATTTCCTTAAGTTAATTTAAAAGTTTAATAACTTAGATTTTAAGGAAATACCATGATAGAGACAGCTCAATAATTTACGAAATATTATGGTAATTTATTTATAATTAATTTATATTTTTAATTATTTTTCACTTCATTTTTTTATTATCAATTGTTATAATAATGGCTATAAAATTTTTATTTATTAATTTTTTATAGTACTTTAAATTTTATATAATTGTTTACGCTTTTATTATTTTAATTCATTACCCTAAGCAATAAACAGTAAAGGAAGGACAACTCTTGAAACAGGTGACGGTTTAATAATAATGTCATGTATAGACTACCATACTTACAAAAATGGCAACGTTTATACACTAAAAAAAAAAAAATTAAAATTATGTTAAAAATTTTGATGCAAAGCGACTTTTCTTAAGCTTTTCAATTTTTGATTCGTAAATATACTTTATACTTAATAAAAATATCACCCAACTGGCTTGAAGTAATGCAGAATTTTAAACGATTTAAATTATTATAATTAAAGTTAAAAAAATGAAAACAATTCTTGTAAAAATCCATTACTCATCGAAAAAAATTTCTCAAGACAATAGTGTCCTTAATAAATCTTATTTATAAAAGCAGTTAAAGGATTTTCTAATTAAAAAATTCATAGTTTTATTAATTTTTTTTGTGATTTGGATCATATTATCAGGAAATAAATAGTAGTTAGAACAATAATTGTTGATTTACATTCTCCAAGGAATCCTGCTTTGAAGTAATAAAAAAAGTTTTGAGATTGAAATTTAATTTCTCGAAACTTCATAAAATTAAGTAAGGGGTTGGGTAACATATGTGAAGAGAAAAAAATTACCAAGCTTTTCTAAAAAAAACAACAAATCCAAATAATATAACTTATTTGTGAATAAGTCCTGAAAGTTTCATTAAAATCCGACAATTATTTGATTTTTGCAAGAATTTCCAAATCAAAGCTTTTCACCTGAAAAAAAGCGCTAAAAGTCTAATTGTAAATATTACGTCGACCGTTGATGTAAAAAAGCAAGATTTTTTAACCAACATTTAGAACGTGAGAGAAAGGATTAAAATAAATTAATTAAATAATAAAAAAAAATACTTTGTTCTTCCCTCTTAATAATAACATATATATTTTAACGATAAAACTTTTTACCACATGCTATGCCGATATTTCGGTGACAAGTGGAGGTGCCTATATGTGTATATATATATATCCGAAATCAATATTTAATGCTATCAATGAATCCATTCGCAAGATATAAGTCATTCCTAGTAGGGTTTCGATTGAGCGTGTCGAAAATGACGATGTAAGCGTCGCCGAATCATGGCTCCAGGTCGATATAAATGTCATGTCTGTGATATTTAAATCTGTGTCAGCAACGAAAAGAAAAAAAATACACATACACACACACACAAAAAAAAAAAGAAGAAAAGAAAAAAGAAAAGCAAGAAAAAAAACGAAAAAAACAGGTTAGTGTGTTTTTAGCCGTGGACTTGTCACTCATCGTAAGGTCAGAGTTCAAGTAAAGGCATGACCAATTCTAATAGTCGTTAACCAATTTTTTTTTTAGTCCGTGAAGATACAGGAAAAATAAAGAGGAGGGAGAAAAAGAGTTGATAGTAATTTGATCTTCATGAGTTGTTAAAGCTTAAACGAACAGCTAGTTCTCTTTTTCGTGGGGGTGGTAATTGGTTGAATAATTTTCAGATTAGCTTTCTAAACATCGTACCATGTCAGGCACCCAAATAGTGATTTTACTTATTATTTCAAATGAGAATCATTTGGTCAAGACCAAGTCAGTTTAGTAGTTAAGCATTTGTTGTATTCTTAAAGAGGTTACAAAAAGACAAATGTGGTACTCGAGTGAAAGGAACAGCAACACGCGCGTAGATGAAAGAAATGAGGTTTATTGTAAAAGAGAATACACTACTGAAAGACTGAAAGATCGGCTAGCACTTCCCGAAGCCAGTCAGTCAGATAGACAGACAGACAGACACTGGTATGTCCTGAGTACACTAGATATATTACTGATATAGTCAGTCCACAATAGGCAATAAGGAGAGTGGAACATTCTAGTACAACAGAAAGCAAGTGACCCGAAGGGGTTACAGAGAGAGAGAGAGAGAGAGAGAGAGAGAGAGTAAGAGAGAGAGAGAGAGAGAGTGTAAAGAGGGGTGCTGTGAGGGTGTTGTAAAGAGTTGTCAGGCGCCTTGTTGAAGGATGGTGCCTAAAGAAGAGAATTTCCATTGACTATGTGTTGTATCCTTAAAAAGGTTACAGAGGAACAAAGGTGGTACTCGAGTGGAAAGAACAGCAACACAGGCATAGATGAAAGAAAGAGAGGTTTATTGTAAAAGAGAATACACTACTGAAAGACAGGGAATCTGTTAGCACTTCCTGAAGCCAGTCAGTCAGACAGACAGACAGACTCTGGTATGTCCTGTTTACACCAGATATATTACTGATATAGTCAGTCCACGATAGGTAATAGGGAACACTGGGGTGAATGTATTTCCATTCCGCCTAAACCTGTGGGCACGTGGCTAGAATGTTCTCTTTCTGATCATAAGACGCGGGTTCGAATCGCAAGGTTTTACAGGAAGTTGATGTAAATTGGCCTGTAAATGCACCTTTGGAAAGTACCTGACCCGAGCCTTGTGACTGAACTATTTGGAAGCTGTCGATAGTTGAGCTAGCACTAAGTAGCAAGTCATCGTGACCGAGAGTTTGAGCGTACTGGCCTCCTTCAGACTGTTGCTCACGTCAGATAATGTGCTCTGTCTCATAAACTATATCTAATGTCCGCTCATCATAGTGATAATACATAGTAATATACAGTATCAACCAAAGGTGGGCTCTGTGGGTGTTGAACAAACACAGATCAACCTGAACCGGCATCTGTAATTGGCCCTAGCAGACAGATATACTCGTACACTATTTACATTATTCGTCTTTATCCACTGTGCCATGTGTCCTTGAGGCGTTAGTTAAATCCAGTGACAGGACCCAAAGAGTGTGAGTTCAATACCCGGTTAAGGCAGTGGAGAACTTGCAGAGGGGAATTAACAGGAGATAACTGATAACTGACATCCGTTAAAACATGGCGTGATTTGACCGTAAGCTGAAAAAGCCGGTTCTCGTTCGATCACCGAAGTTAAGCATCGTAGAGCCAGGTCAGTACTTAGATGGGGGACCGCTTGGGAACACCTGGTACTGTAAGCCCCCAAAGTCCAACCCTTACCTCACAGTCGGTGGGGAGCTGTAAACGGTAGTGTCAGAGCTATGCCGCCCGGAACTTCGTTCCTGGTAGGGCCACCCAAGGCGGACAGGTCTGACACACACACCGGCTAGCAAGGGCTCTGGTGAAAATCCAAGGTGCGTCTGCATCGGCAACCGGCGGCTTCTGGTCGTTCCTGTATCTGCGTCTGTGGGAACCCCGCGGCAAGCAAGAACGTTATCCGAGTAGGCCTGGGTAACCTACTTCTGTAATTTATCCCAAGAATCTTCTTCTCATAACAGGAAGAAGCCGGCTCAATCCGCCCAGGGTGAATGCCGCATCAGTACAGCAGTACAGTAATTAAAACATGGCACATGGAACTAGAACAGTCTCCCCCAGTGAACGAAGGGTTCAGTACGACATTCCAACCTCCTGAAGAAGGCCGGAGCGTACAATGACCGAAACATTGTAATAAATATGGCAACAAAGATGAGGACAATAGTCCGAATAATGTAAATATTGTACATAATACCTCATCTCAGAAATATAGACAGATACTGAAAGGCCGAAACGTTGTAATAAATATGGCGACAAAGATGAGGACAATGGTCCGAATAATGTAAATAGTATACATAATACCTCATCTTAGAAATATAGACAGATACTGAAAGGCCGAAACGTTGTAATAAATATGGCGACAAAGATGAGGACAATGGTCCGAATAATGTAAATAGTATACATAATACCTCATCTTAGAAATATAGACATATACTGAAAGGTCGAAACTTTGTAATAAATATGGCGAAAAAGATGAGGACACTAGTTCGAATAATGTAAATAGTGTACATAATACCTCATCTCAGAAATATAGACAGATATACTCGTATACGAGCGACTAGCCATTACTATGACCATTTCAATTATTGACATTGGAAACGGCATGAATCATTTTCTTTTTCACTTAATGAATAAATCATAAGGTAGACTTAGCTCTTTAGTCTTGGTAGTTCGTTCCCAATAAATATCGTACACTGTAGGAAAAGGGATAAAGATGGGTGATAAGATAGACGATTGGGCTCAGTCCTTCATTGGATATAGAACTTCTGCGATATCGGATTTCAGCCTGTTTTTCCAAGTGTTTGGCAAGAAACCCTAATCAGAGCTTTCAAATTTTTAAAGTTTTAGGTTAATATCTATCTATCTATCTATCTATCTATCTATCTATCTATGTGACGCGTCCCTTCAGGACATAGGCGATCATGGCTGTCTTCAACTTTCCATCTTTTGTGGCTCTTAGCAGATTTCTCTCTTTGCTAAACCACCACCCTGCCCGGCCATCTATTCACACAAGCTCATCAGGTAAGAGGATCTTTGCCTTCCCTATCTCCCCTGCCCACAATATGCCCCTTAAGGGTAGTGATATTTAAAACATAAATTAGAAAGTAAACAATAAAAAAAACAACAACATTTTAACTGGTTTGAAATATTGTTAATTTTTTCTAAGGAAGCTCTAACGTGCTAAGAATTTCAAATGCACATTTTATATCTAATAACTTATTTTGATGTTTTAAAAGTACAATTTACATATTTTATTTCCTTCAAATGAGTTTAACAGTCTGGTCATTCTAGTATTTCTCACGAATGATAAGACAGATAATACTGCCAAGGAAATATATTTTTACCCACTCTGTCGGTGGCTTATATATTTTACTCAGTGGCATGAGATTTGTAATTATTTACCCAGTGATGCCCATTGGAATATTTACTTACTCAGTGGTGTCTATTGTAAGATCTACTCAGTAGAGCCCATCGCAAGATTTACTTACTCAATGGGGCCCATTGAAATATCTACTTACTCAGTGGTGCTTATTGCAATATTTACTTACTCAGTGGTGTCTATTGTAAGATCTACTCAGTAGAGCCCATCGCAATATTTAGTTACTCAGTGGGGCCCATTGAAATATTTACTTACTCAGTGGTGCTTATTGTAAGATTTACTTGCTGTTATCCATTATAATATTTACTCAATGGTGCTTATTGCAATATTTACTTACTCAGTGGTAGCTATTGTAAGATCTACTCAGTGGTGCTCAGTTTAAACGAGATACGGTAGTGTAATGAATTGCGGCTCCGATTGAGTAATCGGAGAGCCGAGTTCGTATTCCAGTCGAGTTCATTGCATTCACGCCGGTGCTAATACCCTTGTAAAAGGTATGAATCCTCCCCTCAGCAGGACGGAGTAGGTTCTGCCTCTTTAACTACTGGGAGGAAAATGAAGTGTCAAGCCATTGTACTATTCTGCCTTGAATGTCACCATGAACGACATTTGTGACATGGAGGGGAGCGGTGACCAAAGCGGTAGTGCAAAATGCGCTGATTGAATAAATAATGATCCCCAGTTCAAGGTTTACGCAATCACTGTACATTTACCCATTGTAAAATTTACTAATTGGTGCCCACGTCTAAGGTTTACCCAGTGGCGCCCATTATGAGATTTTCTCAGTAGTGCCTGTTCATTGGTTTTTATTTGCATTTGTTGCCTTAATACAGGTACATCGTCCATCATAGATTACAAAGATTTAGTTTTATAATTTAATGATTAGAAAAATCTCATTTTCTTTAGAGTTCGATATGTCAGGCTGGTGATTGATTGACTTTACAGACAGATGGAATTGGACGTTACTCTTTGATTTTCTTTACGGACAGATGGAATTGGACGTTACTCTTTGATTTTCTTTACGGACAGATGGAATTGGACGTTACTCTTTGATTTTCTTTACGGACAGATGGAATTGGACGTTACTCTTTTGATTTTCTTTACGGACAGATGGAATTGGACGTTACTCTTTTGATTTTCTTTACGGACAGATGGAATTGGACGTTACTCTTTGATTTTCTTTACGGACAGATGGAATTGGACGTTACTCTTTGATTTTCTTTACGGACAGATGGAATTGGACGTTACTCTTTGATTTTCTTTACGGACAGATGGAATTGGACGTTACTCTTTCATTTTCTTTACGGACAGATGGAATTGGACGTTACTCTTTCATTTTCTTTACGGACAGATGGAATTGGACGTTACTCTTTGATTTTTCTTTACGGACAGATGGAATTGGACGTTACTCTTTGATTTTCTTTACGGACAGATGGAATTGGACGTTACTCTTTCATTTTCTTTACGGACAGATGAAATTGGACGTTACTCTTTCATTTTCTTTACGGACAGATGGAATTGGACGTTACTCTTTGATTTTCTTTACGGACAGATGGAATTGGACGTTACTCTTTGATTTTCTTTACGGACAGATGGAATTGGACGTTACTCTTTCATTTTCTTTACGGACAGATGGAATTGGATGTTACTCTTTGATTTTCTTTACAGACAGATGGAATTGGACGTTACTCTTTGATTTTCTTTACGGACAGATGGAATTGGACGTTACTCTTTGATTTTCTTTACAGACAGATGGAATTGGACGTTACTCTTTGATTTTCTTTACGGACAGATGGAATTGGACGTTACTCTTTGATTTTCTTTACAGACAGATGGAATTGGACGTTACCCTTTGATTTTCTTTACAGGCAGATGGAATTGGACGTTACTCTTTGATTTTCTTTACAGACAGATGGAATTGGACGTTACTCTTTGATTTTCTTTACAGACAGATGGAATTGGACGTTACTCTTTGATTTTCTTTACGGACAGATGGAATTGGACGTTACTCTTTGATTTTCTTTACAGACAGATGGAATTGGACGTTACTCTTTGATTTTCTTTACAGACAGATGGAATTGGACGTTACTCTTTGATTTTCTTTACAGACAGATGGAATTAAACGTTACTCTTTGATTTTCTTTACGGACAGATGGAATTGGACGTTACTCTTTGATTTTCTTTACAGACAGATGGAATTGGACGTTACTCTTTGATTTTCTTTACAGACAGATGGAATTGGACGTTACTCTTTGATTTTCTTTACGAACAGATGGAATTGGACGTTACTCTTTGATTTTCTTTACAGACAGATGGAATTGGACGTTACTCTTTGATTTTCTTTACGGACAGATGGAATTGGACGTTACTCTTTGATTTTCTTTACGGACAGATGGAATTGGACGTTACTCTTTGATTTTCTTTACAGACAGATGGAATTGGACGTTACTCTTTGATTTTCTTTACAGACAGATGGAATTGGACGTTACTCTTTGATTTTCTTTACGGACAGATGGAATTGGACGTTACTCTTTGATTTTCTTTACAGACAGATGGAATTGGACGTTACTCTTTGATTTTCTTTACAGACAGATGGAATTGGACGTTACTCTTTGATTTTCTTTACAGACAGATGGAATTAAACGTTACTCTTTGATTTTCTTTACGGACAGATGGAATTGGACGTTACTCTTTGATTTTCTTTACGGACAGATGGAATTGGACGTTACTCTTTCATTTTCTTTACAGACAGATGGAATTGGACGTTACTCTTTGATTTCTTTCTTTGGACGTTACTCTTGATTTTCATTTTCTTTACGGACAGATGGAATTGGACGTTACTCTTTGATTTTCTTTACGGACAGATGGAATTGGACGTTACTCTTTGATTTTCTTTACAGACAGATGGAATTGGACGTTACTCTTTGATTTTCTTTACAGACAGATGGAATTGGACGTTACTCTTTGATTTTCTTTACGGACAGATGGAATTGGACGTTACTCTTTGATTTTCTTTACGGACAGATGGAATTGGACGTTACTCTTTGATTTTCTTTACAGACAGATGGAATTGGACGTTACTCTTTGATTTTCTTTACAGACAGATGGAATTGGACGTTACTCTTTGATTTTCTTTACGGACAGATGGAATTGGACGTTACAGATTTTGATTTTCTTTACAGACAGATGGAATTGGACGTTACTCTTTGATTTTCTTTACAGACAGATGGAATTGGACGTTACTCTTTGATTTTCTTTACGGACAGATGGAATTGGACGTTACTCTTTGATTTTTTCTTTACAGACAGATGGAATTGGACGTTACTCTTTGATTTTCTTTACAGACAGATGGAATTGGACGTTACTCTTTGATTTTCTTTACGGACAGATGGAATTGGACGTTACTCTTTGATTTTCTTTACAGACAGATGGAATTGGACGTTACTCTTTGATTTTCTTTACGGACAGATGGAATTGGACGTTACTCTTTGATTTTCTTTACGGACAGATGGAATTGGACGTTACTCTTTGATTTTCTTTACGGACAGATGGAATTGGACGTTACTCTTTGATTTTCTTTACGGACAGATGGAATTGGACGTTACTCTTTGATTTTCTTTACGGACAGATGGAATTGGACGTTACTCTTTGATTTTCTTTACGGACAGATGGAATTGGACGTTACTCTTTGATTTTCTTTACGGACAGATGGAATTGGACGTTACTCTTTGATTTTCTTTACGGACAGATGGAATTGGACGTTACTCTTTGATTTTCTTTACGGACAGATGGAATTGGACGTTACTCTTTGATTTTCTTTACGGACAGATGGAATTGGACGTTACTCTTTGATTTTCTTTACGGACAGATGGAATTGGACGTTACTCTTTCATTTTCTTTACGGACAGATGGAATTGGACGTTACTCTTTCATTTTCTTTACGGACAGATGGAATTGGACGTTACTCTTTCATTTTCTTTACGGACAGATGGAATTGGACGTTACTCTTTGATTTTCTTTACGGACAGATGGAATTGGACGTTACTCTTTGATTTTTTTCATTTTCTTTACGGACAGATGGAATTGGACGTTACTCTTTTCATTTTCTTTACGGACAGATGGAATTGGACGTTATTTTCTTTTCATTTTCTTTACGGACAGATGGAATTGGACGTTACTCTTTGATTTTCTTTACGGACAGATGGAATTGGACGTTACTCTTTGATTTTCTTTACGGACAGATGGAATTGGACGTTACTCTTTGATTTTCTTTACGGACAGATGGAATTGGACGTTACTCTTTCATTTTCTTTACGGACAGATGGAATTGGACGTTACTCTTTGATTTTCTTTACAGACAGATGGAATTGGACGTTACTCTTTGATTTTCTTTACGGACAGATGGAATTGGACGTTACTCTTTGATGGAATTTTTTTTACAGACAGATGGAATTGGACGTTACTCTTTGATTTTCTTTACGGACAGATGGAATTGGACGTTACTCTTTGATTTTCTTTACAGACAGATGGAATTGGACGTTACTCTTTGATTTTCTTTACAGACAGATGGAATTGGACGTTACTCTTTTGATTTTCTTTACGGACAGATGGAATTGGACGTTACTCTTTGATTTTCTTTACGGACAGATGGAATTGGACGTTACTCTTTGATTTTCTTTACGGACAGATGGAATTGGACGTTACTCTTTGATTTTCTTTACAGACAGATGGAATTGGACGTTACTCTTTGATTTTCTTTACAGACAGATGGAATTGGACGTTACTCTTTTGATTTTCTTTACGGACAGATGGAATTGGACGTTACTCTTTGATTTTCTTTACGGACAGATGGAATTGGACGTTACTCTTTGATTTTCTTTACAGACAGATGGAATTGGACGTTACTCTTTGATTTTCTTTACAGACAGATGGAATTGGACGTTACTCTTTGATTTTCTTTACGGACAGATGGAATTGGACGTTACTCTTTTGATTTTCTTTCAGACAGATGGAATTGGACGTTACTCTTTGATTTTCTTTACAGACAGATGGAATTGGACGTTACTCTTTGATTTTCTTTACGGACAGATGGAATTGGACGTTACTCTTTGATTTTCTTTACAGACAGATGGAATTGGACGTTACTCTTTGATTTTCTTTACAGACAGATGGAATTGGACGTTACTCTTTGATTTTCTTTACGGACAGATGGAATTGGACGTTACTCTTTGATTTTCTTTACAGACAGATGGAATTGGACGTTACTCTTTGATTTTCTTTACAGACAGATGGAATTGGACGTTACTCTTTGATTTTCTTTACGGACAGATGGAATTGGACGTTACTCTTTGATTTTCTTTACAGACAGATGGAATTGGACGTTACTCTTTGATTTTCTTTACAGACAGATGGAATTGGACCTTACTCTTTGATTTTCTTTTGTTATTTCCAACATTCTGCTTAATGGTGCCAATATTCTCATCTCATCTTTTTCTTGCACAGAACTTTTGAAACGGCAGAAGGAAGAGGAAGAAGAAAGGCGTAAAGCCGAAGAGGAGATGCTGGCTCAAATGGCCGAACAAGAAAGAATTGAATATGAGAAAAAGAAACAGGAGGAAGAAGAACAGCGCATGCGCGAAGAAGAGGAGAAAAGGTATGTTTTGAAAAAAAAAATTTACACGCATTACATTACCTAGAGAATGTGCAGGTGATACATTGGTTGACGGCTCGAAAGGCTAAATTGGTGAGCCGTGTTCAAATTCTGGTAGGGTTCATTATATTTATTTTGGGGTAAAAATAGGAATTCATCTCTCAAGCGGAAATACAGACTGGAGTCCCCAGCCATGTTTGGCACCAGTCTAGGAGAAGGACAACACTGAATCCAAAATTTATTTGGCTCTGATGGGGAATACACTTGAACTCCAAATAAGGTCTGCAGCATTCTCCTGTTTTCTTTTATGTGCTGTGTTCCTGCAGTACGTGGGCGATTATGTCTCTCCACAACTTGCTATCCTCTGTAACGCCTACTAATTTTATCTTTTCATTATCTCTGTCATTTCCTGTTCTGACATCCATTTACACAAGATCTTTAGATACATTACTCGCTGATTTCCACTGTTGTGACTACCGTCCCGTGAGTATCATATTCTCCAGGCTCTCTTTCCTCGTTACGTTTCCTAGATATTTCAACAGTCTCTTTCTGATTCTAAGTATAAGTCTCCCTTACGTTTTCATTCTCCTCAAAATGTCTTCGTTGCGCACATGTTCAGTCCATTGAATTCTCAGTATCCTTCTGTAGAACCACGTTTCTGTTGCTTCAAGTTTTGTCTTCATCCGTGAGAAGATTGCCCAGCATTCACTGCCATATAGGAGAACTGACATTACGTAGCAGTTCAGTTTGTTTTTTTTTTTAGTTTTTTTTTTTTACGGCATATCAACCCCAATGAGTTATTTAATGCCGACAAAATATTCATTGCTGGTAATATTTTGTTTGTCAAAAATCTATTTCTGGTAATAATTTTTTTTTGAAAAATCTGTTGCTGGTAATAGATTTTTTTTTTTTTTTTTTTTAAAAACTATTGCTGTTAATATTTTTTTTCCTTAAAAAATGTATAGCTGGTAATAGTTTTTTTTTCTTCAAAAATTTATTGCTGAAAATAATATTTTTACAAAATATTTCCGGTATTAAAACCTGTTTTTCCATTTTCATAGTGTTTTGATCCCAGTTTCGGGGTTAACTATTTTGCCCATAGCTCGGACCCTAACAGGTACTACCACACCGGGCCAGCAATTAAGAGTTGGCTGCACGTTCCTCAAAACCTCCTGCTCAGAAGCCTTGCTGTTGGACGTAGTTTATCGTCATACCCAGGACGCGGATGTAGTTTATCTTCTTACCCAGGACGCGGATGTAGTTTATCATCATACCCAGGACGCGGATGTAGTTTATCTTTTTACCCAGGACGCGGATGTAGTTTATCTTCTTACCCAGGACGCGTTTATCGTCATACCCAGGACGCGGATGTAGTTTATCTTCTTACCCAGGACGCGGATGTAGTTTATCATCATACCCAGGACGCGGACGTAGTTTATCTTCTTACCCAGGACGCGGATGGATACCCAGGACGCGGATGTAGTTTATCTTACACAGGACGCGGATGTAGTTTATCGTCATACCCAGGACGCGGATGTAGTTTATCGTCATACCCAGGACGCGGACGTAGTTTATCTTCTTACCAAGGACGCGGATGTAGTTTATCGTCATACCCAGGACGCGGATGTAGTTTATCTTCTTACCCAGGACGCGGATGTAGTTTATCGTCATACCCAGGACGCGGATGTAGTTTATCTTCTTACACAGGACGCGGATGTAGTTTATCTTCTTACCCAGGGCGCGGATGTAGTTTATCGTCATACCCAGGACGCGGATGTAGTTTATCGTCATACCCAGGACGCGGATGTAGTTTATCTTCTTACCCAGGACGCGGATGTAGTTTATCTTCTTACCCAGGACGCGGATGTAGTTTATCGTCATACCCAGGACGCGGACGTAGTTTATCTTCTTACCCAGGACGCGGATGTAGTTTATCTTCTTACCCAGGACGCGGATGTAGTTTATCGTCCTACCCAGGACGCGGATGTAGTTTATCGTCATACCCAGGACGCGGACGTAGTTTATCTTCTTACCCAGGACGCGGATGTAGTTTATCGTCATACCCAGGACGCGGATGTAGTTTATCTTCTTACACAGGACGCGGATGTAGTTTATCTTCTTACCCAGGACGCGGATGTAGTTTATCGTCATACCCAGGACGCGGATGTAGTTTATCGTCATACCCAGGACGCGGATGTAGTTTATCTTCTTACCCAGGACGCGGATGTAGTTTATCGTCATACCCAGGACGCGGACGTAGTTTATCGTCATACCCAGGACGCGGATGTAGTTTATCGTCATACCCAGGACGCGGACGTAGTTTATCTTCTTACCCAGGACGCGGATGTAGTTTATCTTCTTACCCAGGACGCGGACGTAGTTTATCTTCTTACCCAGGACGCGGATGTGGTTTATCTTCTTACCCAGGACGCGGATGTAGTTTATCGTCCTACCCAGGACGCGGACGTAGTTTATCTTCTTACCCAGGACGCGGATGTAGTTTATCGTCATACCCAGGACGCGGATGTAGTTTATCGTCATACCCAGGACGCGGACGTAGTTTATCTTCTTACCCAGGACGCGGATGTAGTTTATCGTCATACCCAGGACGCGGACGTAGTTTATCGTCATACCCAGGACGCGGATGTAGTTTATCGTCATACCCAGGACGCGGACGTAGTTTATCTTCTTACCCAGGACGCGGATGTAGTTTATCTTCTTACCCAGGACGCGGATGTAGTTTATCGTCCTACCCAGGACGCGGATGTAGTTTATCTTCTTACCCAGGACGCGGATGTAGTTTATCGTCCTACCCAGGACGCGGATGTAGTTTATCGTCCTACCCAGGACGCGGATGTAGTTTATCTTCTTACCCAGGACGCGGATGTAGTTTATCGTCATACCCAGGACGCGGACGTAGTTTATCGTCATACCCAGGACGCGGATGTAGTTTATCGTCATACCCAGGACGCGGACGTAGTTTATCTTCTTACCCAGGACGCGGATGTAGTTCAGTACTTTTTTTTTGCTTCTAACAATATTTTGCTGTATTATCTTGATTTTGATAACCCCAATTTGTAATTTGCATGTTGGGTTGATCCATTTTGCTAACAACCATGCATTCTGTCTTCTTACAATTGATGTTTAGTCCTTTCTTCTCGCTTTCCTTCACTATCTTCTATAATAGTTTTGCAGCTTTCTTTTCGAGTCTGCTACCAACACTGTGTCATCTGTATATTTTATATTGTTAAGATTGTGCCAGCTAATAATGAATCCTGGTAAAACTTCTAATTCTCTCAGAATCGCCTCACTGCATAGTTTCAATAAGTTCATGAGAAGAAATCCTTTTCTACCATCTGAATAAAACATTGTACAAAATTTAAACATATTCAATCTGATAGTACTCTAAAAATATACGCAGTCAAAATCTCAAGCAAATTTTAATAACTGAGCAATCGCCTATAGTTTTGATACAAGTTATTTCCATTCATGTTTTGTTATATTTGTTTTATTTGTATCATTAGTGTAGGTAAATTTGGAACCTTGGTAATGCACTCAATTTTAAAGTTGGGGTTTGACATGATAAGTAATCACAAAATATCTTTTTCCAAATCGTTACAGTTTTTTGAGGAAACGAGATTAAGTTTAGGTTTCAAATCGTAGCGTTGGAATTTCATTCCGGTGATCAGTGAACGCCTTATAAAATTTATAATTTAATTAAGCTTTACGAATTTTATATAGTGAACTCATACTCTTTGGTTCCTGTCACTGGATCTAACCAACGCCTTTATCTACTGGGCCATGTGTCCTTGAGTGTGAGTTCAATACCCGCTTAAGGCAGGGGAGAACTTTCAGAGGAGATAACTGATAACTGACATCTATTAAACATGGCACGTGAAACTAGAACAGTCTACCCCAGTGAGCGAAATAAAGGGTTCAGTTCGACGTTCCAATTACCTGAAGAAGGCTGGAACGTACAACAGCCGAAAAGTTGTAATAAATATGGCGACAAAGATGAGGATAATAGTTCGAATAATGTAAATATAATTAGCCTTTATTTCATAAAGGATCTGCATTTAATTGAAGTGTGTGTGTGTGTGGGGGGGGTTAAGCAAATTTAAAACTCTTTATATTTAGAAATAGATATCTGTAATTAGGACAGTGAGACGGTTATCGGCGCGGGCAATTAGAATTGACGTACTGGGTTCAAATTCCGGACCAGTCTATTGCATTTACCTTATATGCATGCCCGCGAGTTTCCTTCCCCCCACCCCGAGCCACATTGTGACACAAAGTCGGTTTTTAACGTGGGGACCCCAGTATTTCCACTCGGGACACTGGTCTAAACTGTTCATAGCTTGTCTGAGCAAGTCATAGCCGGTCATACCACCTCTACATAACACATGACACACAACGGTTGTGGGAGGAGGGCCAAGGGAAGAGAGAAGGCTTCTGGTACGGAACAGATACTACAATCGAAGAATCTACTCCGACGGCCGGAATAAAAAACCCTTCTCCTCTTCTGCCAATTCTGTCGGAAGAATCCGGAGTGCGCGTTGAGGGACATTAATACTTCTTTAACGCCCTCCTCTTGTGTGTTCCCAGGTCCATTCTGACCTAGGGTAGTAGTACCTGTTAGGGTCCCAGGTATGGACAGATAGTGAACCGCCAAACTGGGAGCAAAATATAAAAATAATTAGAAAAAAATGACCAAAGCTCACAAGAAAATAAAATGTTGGCATTAAATGACCCATAAGGATTTGTTATGCCGTTAAACAAATCAAACCTCTCTTCAATGTTCCCAAGCTATGGCTTAAAAATAGCAGCGCAAACTGGGTCATATACCCTTAGGTGGCAGTTAGTCTAGAAGAACTATGAATTCAAAAATAATCTTTTTCATAAACTGGTGCCAATTCGCAGAGAAAACATAAAGCCACGTGGAACGCATTAATCACGTGTTTTTAATGTACGTGACAAAAAATATTTAGAAATAAATATCAGTAATTAACGGAGTGAGACGGTTATTAGTGTGGGGAATAGAA